TGTGATGATAAGCAGAGGAATTAAAATACACTTATTGGAATGTGGTCTGCATATGTGCAAATCAATAGTGGTTTTCTTTGAAATAATCACTGAAAAGAAAACATTAACAAATGGATTACAGAACACCAATTTTCCCTGGCTTGTGAGACTTGAATTATTAATGCTGCTGTGTTTGGTGTGCCTGAAAATATTACTTTTTCAGTGTCCTATAATACACAGGCAATCCCCAGCATCCATCAGTAATTTTTGTTGGCCATATTTATCTACTAAGGAATGAAGAGTATTAGTATTCTATATATAAAATCCTTAATTAAAGCAAAAAATTTTACAATTTCAAGTACCTGTTTTCTGAAATTTTACATACTGAGAAGTTATTTTTACTTTTTGTTGTACAGCTTTATGTAATATTTTAAAAGTATCATAAATAATGGCTTTGTCATTGCAAAACTTACCTCGTGCTGCCCCTTTGAGTCACACCCAGCTCCAACCTATCCCCTGGAAATCATTGATCTGCTCTCGAAAAAAACGGTATTTTTTTTTCCAGCATTAGACACAGAAAACATTCAGAATGTATCCCTTGATTATTGCTTTAATTAGCATAATTGCTATTGTTAATCTTATTGATAGTTTATTTTTTATTGTGCCATAGTTTTTATTAATCCATTCACCCATTGTAGGGGATTTGGGTTGTTTCCCATTTATTGGCATTTGTGAATCATGTTTCTGAAATATATTTACATATGTATTTTTGTATGGATGTAAATTCATTTGTCATGGATGAATACCTAAAAATGGGTATGCAGGATCAATGGTAAGTGTATGTTTATTCTTATAAGAAATTGGCAAGCTATTTTCCTGAGTGACTACCTTCTGCACTCAAATAATCATTGTTTGTATGATTCAACTTGCCCTACACCCTTGACATCATTTGAGATGGTGAGATTTTTACCATTGAATTGCTTGTTCTAAGGTGTCTGTGTTGGTGTCTCATTCCTCACTGGCAAATGCTGAAGAGCATAGTTTTCTGTGCTCATTTGCCATCTCCATATCTTCTTTTAAAGCTTTTTCCCATTTTCTTTGGGTTGTTTATTTTGTTATTATTGAACTTTGTTGTTATTATTATATATATACATATATATTTATATTTTATATATTTTCAGTGTACTCTCTATCAGGTAGGTATTTTACAAGTACTTTCCTCCCATTTATAGCTTCATTGTTCATTCTAGCACTGTCTTTTATAGAGCAACAGATTTTAATTTTGATATCACACAACGTATCATATAATTCATTTTAGGGATTATATTTATTTTGTCATCTAAAATTTCTTTTCAAAACTGAAGTCATATAGTCTTCTAGAGGCTTACATTTTGTATTTAGATATATGATAACTTTTGAGTTACTTTTTGATGAGGAATGCGTTAAGGCTTATCTGAATGCCCAATTGCTCTAATTCCATTTGGTGAAAAGACTATTCTTTCTCCATTGACTAATTTTTGATTCTTGTTAAAAATAACAATCGGCCATATGTGAGTCTAGTTGTGACTCCCTGTTTTTTCATTACTGTATTGTTTGTCTTTCCACCAATATCACAGGCCATTTTAATTACCATCATATTTTATAAGGCTTAAAATCTTGTAGAATGATGAATCTTCTCACTTCGTTCTTCTTTCACAATTAAATTTTAACTAATACAAAACATATTAATGGGGTAATGTGCTATTTGTCTATATGTCTATATTAAGGAATGCTTAAATTAGGATAATATATCTTAGTGCTCAACATTGTGAAGAATTCTTCTGTTATTGTAGTTTTTGCCTCCCAAGTGACTTTTATGTTCTCCCTCATATGTGGACATTAGATCAAGGGCAAACACAACAATGGGATTAGACTATGAGCACATGATAAAAGCGAGAGCACACAAGGGAGGGGTGAGGATAGGTAAGACACCTAAAAAACTAGCTAGCATTTGTTGCCCTTAACAGAGAAACTAAAGCAGATACCTTAAAAGCAACAGAGGCCAATAGGAAAAGGGACCAGGAACTAGAGAAAAGGTGAGATCAAAAAGAATTAACCTAGAAGGTAACACCCACGCACAGGAAATTAATGTGAGTCAACTCCCTGTATAGCTATCCTTATCTCAACCAGCAAAAACCCTTGTCCCTTCCTGTTATTGCTTATACTCTCTCTACAACAAAATTAGAGATAAGGGCAAAATAGTTTCTGCTGGGTATTGAGGGGGGGGGAGTGGGAGGGGGCGGAGTGGGTGGTAAGGGAGGGGGTGGGGGCAGGGGGGAGAAATGACCCAAGCCTTGTATGCACATATGAATAATAAAAGAAAAAAGAAAAAAAAAGTAACCTCCTTATGTAGGAAATGCTGTGTTTGTCCCTGATTTATAGATCAGTTTGGGAGGAATTGATATTATAATGGGTTAGCTTTTAAAATCAATTTGAAGATGATATATCTGTATTTAGTTAGATCTTTGATTTCTTACAGCAACATTTTGTGGATCCTACATATATTTTGTTGATTTTATACGAAATCCATGTTTTTATACTAAATATAATTATGTCATATTATCTACTTTTTCTTGAGTGACCTGTGATAATTTAATTAACTTAAATTGTTGAAAGCAGTAATATGACACTGTTTCTAATCCCCCAATTTTTTAATATGAAAATTATAGTACTGCCATTCCTATCATTGGTAAAATTAGCAATGTTAGGATTTTCTAAAACAATAAAAGGACTTGTGTTCATTGTTTTCAATATTGGGGATTGAACTCTGGGCTTCAAGTACTCTTCCATTTGAGCCACACCCCAACCATTTTGCCTTTAGTTTGTTTTTCAGACAGGATCTCTTGCTAATTTTGCCTTGGTATGAGATTGTGATTCTCCTACCTCTACCTCCTCAGGAGCTGGAATTATAGCAACATACCACCACACTCAGCTATGGGTTCATTGTTTTTGTACATGCATGTTACATATGATTTATTTTACTTTTCTACTTTGTTATTCAACTCAGCTCCATTATGCTTCCTTTCATCTGCTCACTTCAAGTTTACTATCTTCTACTTTTTAATGTCTTCATATAGAAGATAAGGAACTTGATTAGAATGTTATTCCTTTGTAATATAGATATTTAGTGCAACTAATTTAGGTTAGACTGTTTTGGAGTCATTCCACAGATTTTGGAATGCGATTTATCCACTGATGATTGGATGGAGTAACGGTGGGCATTACCAAAAAATTTTTTGATTTTTTTTGGGGGGTAGATAATACCAAATACATTTTTATCCTCTAAATTCCTACTTATCTTTTGACTAAGGAAATAGTTTTCTCTTGGAGGTTTTTATGTCTGTTATTTCTCAATGTTTTAGATTGGAATCCTGGAAGACAACCTATTTTAAATTTTAAGAAGACTACATTTGTTTGATCAATTTTAAATTGATCCTTTTGAAATTACATGAACAGTGGCTAGGGGAGCCTTTACTATAGGGCTAATTAATTGGAATACTTTTATGGCCTCTTTTGTGGTCTTTCTGAATGATCTGGACAGTCAAGTTACCTTCCACTGTGTCCAAGTTTGAATGTTTCCCCGTGTTGTGGGTACTTAGGGAATCTGACCCTGCTATTCTCTAGCAGTCATTTGCCTCTGGTTGATTCTTCACCTGGTCTCATGTTTTGTCCCACACTATGTTATCTCAGCATTCAGCCAAGGAATCAAGGGGACTAGGTACACATTTCTAGAGCTCTTATTCAGTGGCTTCTTCCTCTCCTGTTTTTTGCGCTGCAAATTCTAGTGACCCTAATCGCTTTTCTTTGACTTGCTGGATTTGAGTTCTTCTTTTAAAAAAAAAACTGCCATTTTCTTCTTGGATTCTTCCCTTCTGTGCTGTGTTCTGGAAAGGTCCTCCAAACACAAAGTCATTTTGTCACCGGATTTCTCTTTTTTCTCTAGAATTACAGTCAGACAATGCTTGCTTTCTAATATCTGGTTAAGGTTGTTTTAACTAATTAGTTCAGTCTCATTTTTTATAGCTGGAATTCTGTTTTTCTCAATTATTCTTGCCTGGTATTTATAGTATTAATGAATTTCTTTTAAAAATCAGTTTTCCTTTATTAATTTTTCTTTTTTGTTTTCTATTTGATTTCTGCTCTCTTTATATTTTTTAAAAAATTTTAATTATGTTGGGTTTGCTTCTTTCTAACTTCTTAAATAAAAAAAGATTGATTTTTAATTGTTTATTTATTTCTTTTAGAGCTGTTTGGTTACAAATTTCCTTCTCAGCATGATTGTGTCACCACACAATATTTTACTTATATGTGCACCTTAACATTTAATCAAAATATTTAATGTTCTCTCTTGATTTTCTTCTCACCCATATCTAAATGAAGCTGTATTCTGGAAGAAACCTAGTAGCTGACAGAAGCCTACATTTCCAGTTTCAAGTTAAGTTATACATGATTTGACTTGAAAGGATGAATACAATACTCTTTCTCACTTTCTTTGAACTTTTTGTACTTGTTATGCTTTAAGCACACATTTATAACATTTCAAACTCTTGGAGCCAAAATTTGAAGCAACTATATTGATAGATTATCCAAGATCTTCACCTGATTTCTAGAAACCCGACTGGACAAATGAGTTCTAGGTGCCTAAGAGATCCAAACCATTCCCAGACCTAAAGCAACTCCCAGGAAAACTTAGTGCTTCTGATTTCTGGCATGCTTTAGAGTCCTAGATACATTAGACAAACCAATTTCCAAAACTTCTTGGAAGGGATTATGAGTGTTCTGTATTTCTTTGTCACAAAAAAATTTCATAAATGATATTGAGATATCTTTGGAAAGTCATAGCTTGTTTTCTTTGGCACAATACATAAATGATTATGACTATTCTATTTTTTATGGCTCATTTTTATATTGTAATAATATATGAGTACTTAAAAATGGTATTGAACATGTTCTCATGTTTTCCTTGCTCATTTCCATTTTAGAAACATGTTCAAAATCAGATATAGAAATTGAGAATGGGTTTCTTTCTGAATATGATTTTATATATGCCGTAAATAAACAGACGGAATATAAATGTAAGCCAGGATATATAACAGCTGATGGTAAAACATCAGGATCAATTACATGTCTGCAAAGTGGATGGTCAGCTCAGCCCTCATGCATTAGTGAGTAATTTATTATATTACTGTCATTATTCTCATAACATACAAAAGTTTTGCTTTATTCTTTCTTGAAAATGTAACTAAATCATTTTTCCTTTTAAGACTAATTACTAGTATTGTGGAATATTAGTACATTTTCCCTTTTTCAGCTCTAAGGATCCTATGATTTAGAAACTAGTTAGGGAGCTTTATGTGTACTCTGTGTAAACTCATTTATTTTTACTGGAGACCTCTGCAACAGTTATATGTCCCTGTGTTTTAAATTATCATTCTTTTTTTGCTCCTAGATATAAAACTAATATCATAAGTTATGAGTCCATGATGTATAATGTCATAACTGTTTTACCTCTGTACTTTATGTTTGATATCATAAGATATGTCCACTTCTGAATATCTTCCCTCTTAGGGAATCTTTCTTAGGAAATCTTCATAAACATCTAGATATTGGAAAAAAGAAATGTTTTTAGGTGCTACTAATCTTTGCTTTAATGAAAGATTTCCCTGCAATACTACCTAAAAGTTAACGAAGATTTAAAAAGAATTATTAGTTCAAGTTTTCTCATCAGAAAGCCAGTCAGTGATAATTTTGAACTTCTATTTATCATACTTTATATGAGATGACTATTTCAGATATTCAAACCTACTGTTTAAATTCCTATTTTTTTCAACTTCTATACTTACTACAGTGCCTAGGTAAAGACAGATAAAGACAGGTGATGTATATAAGGATCACTTTATATTAAATTATGATCAATAATCCATCATAAGACTATTTACAAAAAAGAAAATGTTTTACATGATAAATGCATCAAAATTTTAGTTTAATTAACCCATTCTTTCCTATATGCCACAATAACTAATGTCTGGTATCTTAATTCACAAAATGTTATTATACTTTCCTAAAAAGAGTAAGATCCATTTGTGATGTCTTATTTTATTATTAGTATGTAATGAATGCATAAGTGAACTGAGAAAATTGTTATTTAAGTAAAATTTTCAGAGGCTGTAGGTGATGGGAAAAAGATTATGCAGCAACATGTTTTTCACTTATAGTAACAATTCCAGGCAATGATTTATCATTGGTCTTACATTATTTTTATACAGTGCTTGATTTGTTAGCACATACTAATCAATAAAGTTTTTTGTTCTTGGTGTGAAAATTCCTCATATTGTCCATTAAATTACCTTAAAAATGAAATACTCAATTTTATTGTGTATTAGAATCGTGTGACATGCCAGTATTTGAGAATGCTAAAACCAAAAGTAACAGCACGTGGTTTAAACTCAATGACAAGTTGAACTATGAATGCTTTGTTGGATATGAAAACAAATTTAAACGTAGCAAAGGCTCCATAGTATGTGAAAATGATGGATGGTCTGCTATGCCCTCGTGTTATGGTAAGTTCTGTTTGTTTTTTCAGGAATACTTGTTTTTCTAGATAAAAATAAATTCACATCCATTCCACTTTAAATATTTGCAAAATTTTTCTAATGACATTTGAAAATGAATAATAAGAACGTCTACCTTCTCAGTTAATGAAAACTAGAAGAGGGTGTGTTTTAAAACAATGTATTTTTAAAACAATGCATTAGCCACACATGGTGGCACACACCTGCAATAGTAGCACTTGAGAAGCTGGGACAGGAGGATCCCAAGTTCAAAGCCAGCCTGGGCTGCAATAGCAAGACCCCCAACCTCAAAAAACAAACACACAAAAAAAGAGAAAAATGCATTAAACTAGTGGCTCCTACCCAAGATTCTCTTTTATGTTTAAGAATAAATTGTCTGTTTCCTCAGGTTTTAGGAGGGGTTGAATATGTGGGGAAATGAGAATTTGTAGGCTATTCCAAGCTAAAGGAATAATGTGTGCAAAGCTTTGAAAACAGTATTTGGAAAACATAGGATGAGTGGATTCCAATCAAGATGTGGAAGAATTGTATGAGCTAATAGAAGAGAAAAAGTATCCAGTTTAGTTCAGGTCACATTAGCATTTGGATTCATTTTATGTTTGATGAAAAGCCATAGAAGGGTTTAAAGGAAAGACATTATATAGTTTGGTGTATATATTTGAAAGTTTTGTGGGGAGGTTTTCTGAATGCTGTGCTTTGGTGGTCCAAATACAAAGTAAGGAGTCTGTGTTGAGTAAGAATTGAGATTGAGGTAGAATGATGGCTGTGCACATGAAGAGCAGAAGACAGGTTTGGGATAAACTTTCATGGTGGACAGTACAGGTAGGTCCTCAGTGTTGATGTGAGAAAGAGTGAGACGTCAAGGGACTCACATGTTTACTTTCAATATTTTCATAAGCATTTCAGTAAATGGTAAAGCCATTTTTGTACATTGGTGTTGAGATATAACACTTTGGAAGGAATATCACAATTTATAACTTGGACATATTATGGTAGAGCTGCCCAGGGACACCTCATTTTGATATGACAAATATGACATTTATTCAGCAATGATTAATTATATAATCTCAATATATTATTTCATTTATTTAAGAAAGAGAATGCAGGATTCCCAAAATGGAAAAATACTTAGTTGCTGATCCCAAGAAAGAAAAATATAAAGTTGGAGATGTGTTGAAATTCTCCTGCCGACCAGGACTCATAAGAGTTGGACCAGATTCAGTGCAATGTTACCACTTTGGATGGTCCCCTAAACTCCCAATATGTAAAGGTGAATATTTTCTTAAAATTGATGAAACAAGAATTTGATTTTTGAAAATAAACCTTTTTCTTCTCTTAACTTTCTGTTGTCTTTGTGTGTCTGCAATCTAATGCATTAGGTCAGAGATATGTCCATGAAGGACTTGTGCTGGGTTGTACAAACCACAGATTTATTTATTTAAGAATGAACATCAGTTGCTTCTGAAGTATGAATTGGGCATATTTATACATACAAATATGGAGGCTAAAATTAGAGAGACTTTTGTTACTTTTTAGTTTGCCTATATTGCTGCCATTAATTAACATTGGACACTTTATATAGCAGGGTATTTACCTCACATTTCATTGAATGTGTTTAAACAGTATTTAAGCAACTTATACTTAATTTAGTAGTCTTTATCAAATTTAAATATATTAATCAAGTGCTTGCTTCAATGTTGACACTTTTTCCAAGAGCTATAAAATATAAAATATTACCATGGAATATAAAAATTAATATAATTTAAACAACCACATTTGATAAGAGTTCCATGCATTCTTAAACTGTCTAGATTATTGAACATATTTGTAGACTTAAAAATAATTGCAGTGCTACTTCAATACAAATACTGTAACTAGAAAACAAGAGTCTGAGGTAAATATTCTTTTTTTCTTCCATTAAGAGATATAATAAATTATAAGATAAATACACTGAAAGAGAAAAATCTTTCCATTTTTAAGTGGATTGCAAAAAATGGACAATGCTACCCTCATTTACACAGTATTTCTGCTGTAGATCAAGTACAGTCATGTGGTCATCCTCCTGAACTCCTCAATGGGAAAGTTAAAGGAGTGAAGAAAGAAGTATACGGACACAGTGAAATTGTGGAATATAGCTGCGATCCTAGACTTCTGATAAAAGGACCAAATAAAATTCAATGTGTTGATGGAGAGTGGACAACCATGCCAATATGTATTGGTAATTAAAACACGAGTACTTAAGCTTAAGTAAACACTTTTGCATTCACTTAGCATGCACATTGCATTTTAATCATAATCATATTTGCGTGAAATTTGCACAGAGGAGGAGAGAACATGTGGAGACATCCCTGAACTTGAGCATGGCTACGCACAGCCCGCTGCCCCTCCCCATCACCATGGAGATTCAGTCGTGTTCAACTGCACGGAGACCTTCACAATGATTGGACACAGCTCAATCACGTGTGTTAGTGGGACATGGTCCCAACTTCCTCAATGCATTGGTGAGAACACCGTTCTCAACTCAACGTTTAACGTTCAGTCATTTCACTGCAAAAGAATTTACAACTATATTTTTAAATTTAGTGATGTTCTTGAAATATCTAGTGGTAGATTATAATGAAGCCAAACTTTTAATGTTTATAATTCAATATGTGTCAGCAGCAACTTTAGAAAGCTAAAACTACCAACAGAATTTTAAATCTATCCCCGATATTAGTATTAATTATCTTCACAGGGTAAAAAGTGAAAAGTTGGATTTAACTTATAAATTATTATGTGATTAAAACATGAATACTAATTACCAAAAAATATAAGTACCATTGCTGTTATTATATGACACTCTTTCAGTCTCTGGATGTAAAAAAATGAAGTCTACAAAATACTTACTACTCTCCCTTGGAATATTTCTTCTCTCAGAGTTTCTAACAAGGATAAATCCTCAGTTTGTTTCAAACGTAGCCGACTGAAATAAGTATGCTGCAGAGCAGGTGGGCAGACCCTTTCCATCAGGATATGAGGATGTCTGGGATTGGGCCAAGAAACAGATCTCATGGATGGACTTCACTCTGCCAGTGAAACACACTGCCTTCTTGGGGATCCAGTCCTGATGAGTGCCAAGAAGGATCTTGAAGGCCTGCTTTCACTTTTCCTTTATATTTCTTTCCTAGAGCTTCCTGGGTCTTTCATTCAGATAGTCCTGGACATCCAATTTTACTTATTCACTAGGTTTCTAAAGATGAATTAATCCCAGGAAAATGTCAAGCTCCTTGGGGACGGGATTTTATACCTGCTTTGGTCGATGATAGATTCACTCTCAAGACCATAAGACTGACTGGCACAAGGAGACATTTGATAAGAATCTATTAGTTGAATCAACACTTCTTGCTGCTTATTAACCCTTACTTTTTCTTTTTTGCTAAGCACATTCTTTGTCAAAACTATTGCCTTCAATCCTCTAAAACCTAAACTCATCATTATTCTTTTCTATCTTGACAAATGATTTTGTCTCATTTCATTTGGGATAAATCCCCAAGATAATATCAGGCATGAAAACTCTTAACTCTTCATTCTATATTATATAAAAACTGTGCTTAATTATTATTTATTCTCATCTTAGAATTTTCCTTCCTGTGGTTAATCTGTACCCAGTTTCTTATAATCTCTTTCCAGCTATAATAGAATATACTTCAATTTTATCTTCAGTATTCACTTTATATCTTCCACTAGTCTAAATTTCTCACACTTCTTGATATGTTTACTTTTACCCAATAAACAAAGAAATCCTTTCAGAGACAAATCAATCACAAGACACAGCCACAACCACCACCATTCCCCTTGGCCATAGATCTGCCTTGACTCACCACCTCTTGTAGAACATCAGGCTTTGTCTTCCTGGACACTCTGGACCATGCCTAAGGATGGGACTAATTCTCAAGTTTTTAGTATGCTTTGATATAGCTCAGTTTATTACTTTTAAGGTTAGTTTACAAAATCATTACTGAGCTTTGGCTAATTCTTTTTGCTCTGCTTATACTCACTTGACTCTACAATTCACATCATTAAAAAATATTTTCAAGGACATACACTGATATTTTATCAAATTCAAGAAGAATTCTTTTCTTCACTGAGTAAGTGAAATACATAATATTTTAAAAAATATATAGTCCATATTTAATTCCTAACAGAGCCAGCATAATTTTACTATAGTGATATTTATCAAATGATAATGGGTTATAAGATGATCTGGCATATAAAACAACTTCTCAAAGCCTCTATGTATATATATAAAGAAATCAAGTTATCACAAAAAGAAAAAAGGAAGACAAATAAAACAAATAAAAAACAAAATATAATTTCAATTTTTCTCTCAGTCTCTGATAGTGATATAAAAATCTGCTTAGATATCTATATGTCAGATGTATTTTTCTTATTATATTATTTCCAAGAACACATGTTTAAACTACCAACATCTTATATTCTATCCCCATAGATGGTGTTTCATTTTAATATTTTGGGATCATACATTAAAATAATGTAAGATGTGTACAAATTGGAAGATCATGAATGTGAATGCTGAATATTCACAGAGATTTCATGTATGGGACCAAATTTTGTCATGTGATAATTATTCATTATGGAGATCATCAAAGAAAGTGAACCACTTTTGCTCTTCCAGATACCAAAGTACAAAATATTTCCATCACAGATATTGTCTGATATTTCAAAGACTGGACATGAGACATGTTCATATATAACAGGTTACCTTATGAATTGTTGCCAGGAATAATTTGGTTGTTGGAATTTATAGGCATAATAGTCAGTTTCATTATACATTGACTATGGCTATTTTTATGTAATAGTTACCTTTCTTCTTGCAATTGGTCTTTTCATTTTACAGCAACAGATCAACTTGAGAAGTGTGGAGCACCAAGGTCAATTGCACATGAAGGTAGTCAGTTGGATAGGAATGAATTTGTTCATAACTTTAACATAAGTTACAAATGCAGAGGAAAGCAAGAATATGAATACTCAATCTGCATAAATGGAAGATGGGATCCTGAACCGACATGCACAAGTAAATTCATGTTTTTTGTTTTCCGTGTTTTATTGTTTTTCTCACTGCATTGAAAATATGTCAAAATATTTAGCAACATAAATGAGGAAATAGGTGTCCTCATGCCTGTAATCTAAGAGACAGATATAGGAGGATGGTGGTTCAAGGCAAACCCAGGACAAGAAAAAGTTAGAGACACCCTCTCTTAAAAGCAAGCCAGGCAAAATGGTGCATTATGAACTACTAAGATAGGTCCGAGTGTCTCAGTTTCATTGAGGTTCAGACACAAGAGCAAACTAATTATTTATACATCTGTAAACAGTGCAGGTAAGCTAGTAAACAGTAGGCCCAGGTGAGCTCAAACTTTTAGTAGCATGCTAGAAATCACTTGGAAACATACGTTGGCCAACAGTCACTCTAATTGATTATTAACTAAGTATAATATAAATTTTCTGCTTGCTAATCAGCTTCTATTGGTAGACTATCTCATGAGGATTTTAATCTAATCTTAATACATTTGATTTGAAATACATTTAGATATTTGAAATAATTTATGGAAGATTGCTTAAAGAAAGAATAAATGGAAACAGCTACAAAGGAACCCTAAGAATAGATATTAAACTGCTATATAAAAGTGGAAACATATAACGTATATAAACATTACCTTATGAATATTATCTTATGGTCCTTTATATTTCATAGCTACTACATATTCTGGTTTTTAAAAATCACTGTTTAGATGTTTTAAATTATGATTTTCTTAAATAAAGAAACCTAATTTTAACATTTTCTAGAGGTAGAATTGGATTCATGCCCACCTCCACCTCAGATCCCTAATGCTCACATTATGACAACTACAGTGAAATATAAGGATGGAGAAAAAGTATCAATTCTTTGCCAAGAAAATTATCTTACTCAACAAACAGAAGAGATTGTGTGCAAAGATGGAAGGTGGCAGTCAATACCACGTTGTGTTGGTCAGTATTGCACAATTTGTTTTATAATGTTCTCTGTTACTAATCCCCAGTGCTTTACACAAATGAACAAAAATGAAGACTTTTCTCTCCATCTACTATGCTTTCACTATAAATTATAAATTGTAAACTAAAACTATAAATTATGATCCAAGTATTAATCAATCACCTTTCACTTCTGGGAGCAAAATACAGACACTTTGGGACAATATGTAAGTATCAGATCAGATTTCCCTTCATTAATAGTTACTCCACATAATCAATAGAACACACATGAAAGGGGATATTGAAAAAGAGAATGACAATATAGATACTGTGGAGACAGAATCCGAATAGTATTTGATTCTATTTTTCAATTTAAACATTTTATTTTTACTTGGCTATTTGATTTCTGTTCTTCCTATAGAAAAAATTCCATGTTCTCAACCACCTGATATAAACCATGGAACCATTGAATACTCTAGATTTTCAGAAGAAAGGAAAGAAGCAATTGAATCCAGAGTTCATGAACATGGCTCTAAGTTAAATTATATTTGCGAGGATGGCTACAGATTATCTGGGGAAGGTGCAGTAACATGCCACATGGGAAAATGGAGCTCTCCACCTCTATGTGTAGGTAAGGACAGAATAAAACTTGAATTCTGTATTTTTAGAACAAATCATTAAAAACAAATTATTGGCAAAATCGGGGAGAGTACAATTTAGATTGCTATCTTTAAAATCATTTATATATTTCAGCATTACAAAGTTTTTTGCACAATTGATTCAATGGTTTTGTTAACTTTTTTGGTTCATTACAGAGTTAGTTTTAATTCTGGCATTTGAAAAACATGGTGGGTAGTCATTTAAATTTGTATATTCATTTGAATCATAGTGTTTTCTTTATCACCAGGGTTTGAAATATTTTTTAATGTTTTTCCCTCAATGTCCCTTCTTATTTTTTACAGTGTGTGCTACCTTCCTTAGGATGATTAGTGCTCAGTGTTTCCTGATTAATAACAGAAGCTTTGGTTATCTCTTAAATGTATTGACATTTTTGATTCCAAGTTCTTGCTGAGGTTCTGACAGATGAACAGACAACAAGACAGATAGATTAAGGGCACATTTGTGTGCCATCTCTGTGATGTCATAGCAGCTATTATTTTTGTCATTCCTTTCAAGAATTACTAAATATGAAAATAGGCATATACAAGAGAATACCAGAGTTGGCAGAAAAATAGATAAATTTCATCACGTTGCTGTCATTGTGCTTTGTAGGACTTCCGTGTGGTCCTCCACCTTTGATCCGTGATGGTGCTGTGTCTCGCCAGTTAGACAGTTACCAATATGGAGAAGAAGTTACATACGATTGTTCAGAAGGGTTTGGAATTGATGGACCTGCATTCATTAAATGTGTAGGAGGAAAATGGTCCACTGCACCAGAATGCATAAGTACAGTATATTTAATTTTATTGTGTGAGACAGAAAACTTAATTCAAAGGATAAAGGGTACAAATAAGAAAGTAAGCTGTAATTCCAGAATTTCCTGAAGTTATCTCTTGTAGATCCTGGATGCTGAGTAATAAAAGAAAAAGAAAAAGTGTGACATCTTAAGAAAAATTACTTCATTTTCATGTCATCTTGTGTGAACTTTCAGCACACTCTGAGACATTCTCAGACTTTTTATCTGTACTGCTGCAGCACAGATTACTCTACTCATCAATCCATTGACAAGTCAATCAGGCATTTTGCTACTACTATGTATTTCCTAAACTTTGTAATGTCATTATAAATAACTTACATTTGATTAAAGGAAAAAGTATAAATTCATATATCATTGGCAAGTATGAGATAAATAATTTTATTACAAGAAAGTGTGATCTTAATAATTTTAACCACTGTATTTTTTCAGGCATCCAGCATCATTCCCATTATACCTTTTATATATTTAGGACAGTTGAATGCAACTAAGTGGAAATTGGGGACATATGTAGCGTGGTAATGATTGGTTGTAGCATAGCAAATATAATTTTAGAATATAGTATTAGATATGTATTTTAAGTTTGACTGTAAAAACATAATATTCTTTTTCCTTCAGGAACAGATTGCTTTAATTTACCCAGAGTCGGGATTGCCATACTCACAGGACAGAGGAAGGACTCATATAGCTCAGGAGAACAACTGACTTACAAGTGTCCACCACATTACCAATTGAATGGATCCAACACTGTTACATGTATTAACGGCAAATGGATAGGAGAGCCAACATGCATAGGTAGTTTAATGGACTTTTAAAGCCAATTATTAAAGTGTCCTAGGAGATGTCATTTGTCTAGCATCATGAACAATGAGCATGATTCATTTTTAAGTCAAGACGAACTAGATTTATGTTTAAAATGAAAGTGAAATTGAATATCTAATGGCTAATCTGATAGCTCAGTGGTTCTCAAAGTGTGGTCCTTTGACCAACACCATCTGTATCTTTGAATAGGTTTTTCCAAATGTAAATTAAAATTCATGAGCTCACCCTAAAATTATTCATTCCAAAAGTCTAGAGGGGGGACCTTGGAAATGTGTTATCAAGTCCTACAGGGGATTTTATGCACACCTCATTTTGGGAATCCTTACTATAAGCTTTCATTACTAACCATGCACCTAAAACTCTTAGATTAATTACACATTGCTCATCATAATATTCTTTTTAAAATAAATTATTAAATAATTGTTTTTACAATTATAGACTTATTGTTCTATTATTTTCTCACATCTTCAATTAGGATTTTTATTTGGTCATCTTTCTCTTCTTTTAACTGTGGCATTCTTCAAATTATATTCTTAATTCTCAAATTAGTTTTCATGGACTTGCCCATTAATGCTTATTTTTAAGGTGCTAAAATTATAATTAAAAACACAATGATTGCAGCCCAAGAATGAAGACATAATCTCTTCATTCTGATTTTTTGCAATTTCTCAATTCATCTTGCATTTACATAACTTGTAATATTTATTCTACTAAACTCAAAGAGAAATGTCCATGAAACCATTCATTTACACTGGCTTCAAAGTGAGAAAATGTCTGTCAGTGTTCTCGTGAAGGATGGAGAAGAGATTTAAGGATGTGAACACTCTATCTTTTATTCTTCAATATTAACCAAAATTTACTAAAAGCCCTCACATCCGTCATGATAGTTTATCTGCTGATAGTCAACCACCCTTGAACTATGTTTGGAATTTTATTCATTGACTGGCTACTCAAAATGGACACTGGGTGGACAACTTTTTTTTTCTATTTAGATAATTCCTGTGTGAATCCACCCAGAGTGAAAAATGCTACAATAATATCAAGACAGATGGTCAAATATCAATCTGGTGAGAGAGTACGTTATGAATGTAACAAACCTTTTGAAATATTTGGGGAAGTAGAGGTGATGTGTCTAAATGGAACATGGACCGAACCACCTCAATGCAAAGGTAAAGTATCATATTCCCCAATATTTCTTAGAGGCTATAATTAGAATAAAATATGTTGATAAAAATAAAGTGGAGTAATTCTTATCAAAAATATTTTTGTATGCAAATAAAATGGTATGGCTAAAAGTTTTATTCTCATTGTGAATTGAGCCAGGAAATATTACATATTTTTTGCAAGATAGATCCAGTATATTGAAGGAAAAGTTCTAACTAAGGGAAGTTCCTCATCTTAATCATTGAGACATTGTTATTTCCTGAGGAATAAGTATATAAAAATACATTATGCACATTTGACAGTCCTAAATATATACCCAATGTGAGATGTGGCATATGTAGTAGATGATCAATCATAGAATCTGATATAACTTTTGGCATCTTCAGTATATAATATTTGAAGGTATGTGACTGGCTGAGGTCATCTTGTGGATTTCTGTATGAACAAAAAGAAGTGTTGGGTACTTAGTCATGAGCACTCCAATATGGAGAGCTCAGGAAATAAGGAAAACTAACAATGGAGACATTATATCATCCATTTCCATTTTTAACATTAATTTTCCCTGGTATTTTTCTCTTCTTTAATTTTATTGTACCTATTTTGCTGTTGAAGTTAATTTGATAGATACAGCATATGGTTGAGTCTCGCTTACCAATCCATCTTGCTATTCTCAATCATTTCATTGATGTATTTAGGTCATTTATGTGCAAAGTAATTATCAATATGTTAAGGTTGTCTGTCATTTTATTTGTTGTATTTGCGTTCTATGTTTTTTGGTCCTGTTTCTCTTTTCCTCCCTTTTTTAGGGGATGATTTTAAAGAAATTTATTTAGATTTATCTTATTGTTTCTGAGTGCACCTCTATGCATTTTAAAAATTGTTCCTCTAGGTACTAATACTATTCTCTACTAGTGTCAATATTTTATACTTCAATTCAAATATGGAAACTTTTGCTTAAATCGGTTTACCCTTCCCACATTGCAAATGAAAATACCTTTAGTATTTCCTGCATGTACATTGAACACCGTTATCAAATGATATAATTTTGCCTCTAAGATCAAACACAGTTAAGCAAACTCATGAGGAGAAAGATAAGAAACATAGTCTATTACATTATGTACCTTTCTTTTTATCAATTATATTGTTTTTTTCCCCTCATGAAGTCTCAAACACCAACTGTTACCGTTTAGCTTTATTTGAAGAATTCCTTTAATTATACTTTAAAGGTAACTCTGCTGCGAGGCCGTTTACTAAGGAGGTAAAAGCAGGGAAACAGAAGGAGATAAGAGAGAGTAGTGAAAGGGTGAATATGATCAAAATATATTCTTTGCTAGTACAATTAATATATACCAATAAAAATAATATAAGTTAAAGAAAGGCAACTGCCGGAGACAAATTCTCTTAGTCTTGTTTTGTCTGAGAATGTTTTCATTTATGCCTTTATTCAAAAGGATAGAGTCAGTGAAGGTAGAATTTGAGGTTCACAATTCCCTTCTTCCAATTCCTGCGATCTCCATGGTCGTGGATGACAAACCAACTTTTATTTGAATCTCGTTCTACAGTAGGTGAGGCACAGTTTCTATTTTGCTTATTTCAAAACATTTTGTCTTCAGTTTCATTATGATATGTGGTAGCATGAGTTTCATTGAATTTATCATGTTGGAGTTCATTAAACTTCTTGACTGCATTTTTTGCCTCTTTCCCAATTTTTTCATTGTTTTCTCAAAAAATACCCTTCTCTCCTACTATTCAACTTTTTGTTTTCTTCTAAAGTCTTCTCAAGAAGCATCCTGTTTTAGGATTTAGTTTTAGGTTCAGTTTTAGTTTTTCAGTCAATTTCTAGACTAATTTCTATTGTTCTTTCTTCAAGTCTATACAGTTTTAACCTCTATCATCTTCAGCCTTTTAAGTCCATGTATGAGTTATATTTTTTAATTTCTGTTTTATCTTCAGTTCTACAATTCTTATGTTTTTTTAAAAAACAAATGACTATTATTCTCAACATCTTTGTAATATCAGTGCATGTATTTATTGCCTTTTCTGTATTGAAGGTTTGAAGATTTTTTGATGAGTGATTTTAAATTTTATTGTAGGCACATTCAGTATTATATTTTGAGATTCACATTTCATTTACATTTCTTATTTACCAGGCTTCCCTTACCACAATGTTGGGTGTAAGTTTAGGTTTCCCACTTGTCTTCCACTGATAAGATAGTAATTGGGAGTGAGTTTTGCCACCTCAATTTGTGAGTTGCTTGTGTTATCACAAAGGATAGAGGCTGGACATTGATATCCTTTGATGTCTTTTCTAGCTTAGGTAGTATCTTGTTGCAAAAAGACTTGTCTTGCTGGATTGCTTCTTCCTCGCCCTCTGGGTAAACAGATAGACTCTTCTTGGGATTTTTTTTTTCTTTATTGGATCCTGACAGCTTTCCAGAGTGTATAGTTCTCCAGCTCCCCATGAGAATACAGAGGAGCTCAATATAGAACTCAAATAGCACACTGCAGTGTGTTTGAGTCCTGAAGTTCCTAGCCACGCTGAATTTTCTTTTCTTCCAGAGTATTATAGTTCCTTAAAAATAATACTTCCAATATTTTTAGTTGTATTTACTTAGCCGAAGGAAAAGGTAGAATTTTTTTTTACCATGTAAGAAAGGTAACAATTCCCTTTACATTTTCTGAATTTGTATTCCTTTGATTAGAGGTAGAATAAATATCACCACATGTTATATGTAAGAATATGAACCCTTGTCTCAGATATCTGTCTGCTCAGCATTTATTTGTTCAACCATTTTTAATACTGCAACTTTGCAAAGTAAACACATTTATTACTTTATATGTGCCTCAGTGGTGAAAAGATAAGCTGAAAACTGTAACTCCCTATTTATATAATAGAAATTCTTCAAGCAATCATTTCTGTAACCAGAAATAAAAAAGTGCTGATATTACATAGTACGCTGTATTTGTATTGACATTATATTATTACCTGTGCATTGATTTAGTCTCTCAATAAATCAAATGATATTTTTTAGACTCTACAGGAAAATGTGGACCTCCTCCACCTATTGACAATGGAGACATTACTTCATTCCCATTGCCTGCATATGCACCATATTCTTCAGTTGAATATCAATGCCAGTCCTTGTATCAACTTCAGGGAAACAAGAAAATAACATGCAGAAATGGACAGTGGTCAGAACCACCCAAATGTTTAAGTAAGTACAAAACTCCAGGCTCCTGAGAAAATCATTGTAATGATTACATATTCTACTGTTCATAATAGAATATTTACAGAGTAACAAATAACTATTTTGCTGAATATTCAAGTACCAAATGTTACAGATTTGGGAACTCTTTTTACTTAAAAATATTTGATTGACAAAGAAAAATATATGTATCCATGGTATAGTAATGCTACAATTTTTGAATTACACTTTAATTTTAAATTTGTGATTAAAATGTATTGATTTCCATATTCATATTTTCCTTCTTATTTTTTTTGAAGGGGCTGGGGTTTGAACTTAGGGTCTCATCCCTGCTAGGTGGGTGCTCTATCAGTAGAGCCACTGCACCAGCTCCCAGTTGTCCATATGAACAGGGGTCATTGTGATATTTCCATATACACACACACTTTGCACTGATGAAATCCAACTTCCCTTAATTCTTCTTTTCCCCATATACACCTTTTACAAATTCTACTAATCACTGACCTACATTAAGGTTGACTTTTATAACTTTTTTTTCTCCATGTGGTAAAAAACATATAGGACTCGTCTTTCTATGTCTGGCTTATTTCACTTAAATCATATCCTTTTGTTCCACCCATTTCACAATAAATGACAAAGTTTAGATCTTTTTAATGACTGGACAATATTCCATTATATGAACATACCACATTGTCTTTATTAATTCATCTGTTGATGGGCATCTAGGCTGATTCCAGATCATTGCTTAGTGAATAGTTGTGCAATAGACATGAGTCTTCTGGTTTGGGTATGCTGAATTCATTTCTTTGGATGCACTCCCAAAAGAGGGATGCAAGAGGAGAACAAACATATACACAATCACAAGACCTCAAGAAAGAATAAATCTTGGTAGAAAAACAAACAAATGGGAAAAAAGAATCAACATTTTTCACGAAATAAAAAATTTCTAAGATGAATAGGGAGCAAGAAAGAATGCAGAATATTCAAAACAATCAGAAAATAAAATAGGAATTTGTACATAACTTTCAATAATAATCTTAAATGTAAGTTGCTTAAAAAATTAAAAGATGTAGATAGGTTGGTTGGATTTTTCTTTAAAAATTCAACCTTTTTTGTCTGTTATTGTGAATACTTGTGCAATAGACAGAGATGTGCCAATTTTGGTACACTGACTTCATTTCTTTGCATAATTCCCCAAAAGAGGGAAACAAGGATCATATGTGGATGATCTAGTCTTAGCTTTTTGAGGAATTTCCATATTTTCTCCATAATGGGCTATATTAAGCTACACACTCCAGCAGTGTATGAGTTCCTTTTTCTCTACAAGCTCATGAGTAGAGAGTTCCTTTTTCTCTACAAGCTCAATATTTTCAGTTGTTTTTTTTTTTGTAAAAGCCATTCTAAATGGGTGACATGATATCTAATTGTGGTTTTGATTTACAATTCCATGATGGCTAGTGATGTTAAGAATTTTTCATATATTTGTTGACTATTTGTATTTTTGCTTTTTAAATTTTTCTATTTAGGTTATTTCCCTGCTTCTAGTTGGATAACAGCCTTCTTATTAAGCTTCTTGGATTCTTCATATATTCTAGATATTAACTCTATGTTACCTGAGGTAGCATGGGCATTTTAACACTTAATTCTTCCAATCCATGTATATGGGAGATCCCTTCAATTTTTGGTTTCTTCAGTTTCCTTCATCAAGTTATTATAATTTTGATAGTAGAGCACTTTCAATCCTTTTTGCTGAATTTATTGCTACATTGTATTTTTGGAACTATTGGGAATGAGATTTGTTTCATTAATTTTCAACTAATTGACTATTGCTATCTAGAAAAGCACTGATTTTACTATGTTGATATAGTATCTTGCTACTTTTCTAATCTTGTTACTAGTTCTTTTATCTTTGATAGGATTTCCCATATAGAGAGTCATATTATCTTCAAACAGGGACAATTTGACTTATGCCCTTCTTATTGTATGCTTTCTCTCTTCTAATTGCTCTAGCAAAAATTCTAGTTTAGCTATTCTGTCATTGAACAAGTGATCTGTACCCATACCTTTTTCCTCTTTTCCTTTGGATATATTGAAAATAAAGAAATTTGTTTGTTCAGTGGTGCTCCAAAAGACTTTAAAGCTCTCTTCTCTCTTTTGTCTTCTCTCTCTCTCTTTTTTCTCTCTTTCTCCCTCTCGCTCTGTCTGCTTGATATATGTTAAAATATCTGTCTTCAGGTTCAAATAGTCTTTCTTGCACTTTAGCTAGTCTGTTGACAGTCTCAACAGGATGTTTATTGAACATGAGTTTTTCATTTCCAAAGTTTCTGTTTGATTAATTTTCGAACTCTACCTCTTTCATAAATTTCTGATTCATTTCCTCCATTGTCTTCTTTCACTTGTTTATCTGTGTTGTCTTGGAATTCATTTACATTTTAAAAATCATTCTTTAAAAACTTTATCCAGCATTTCATTTACTTCATTAACTTTGAAGTGAGTTACTAGAGAGGTGTCCTGTTGCCTTAATTTTTCATACTCTTGTATTTCTGCAACAACATTCACACATCTGATGGATCGGTGATCTCTGCCACATTGGTGTGACTTCCTTAGTTAGAAGCTTTCTCCTGAAGACGTGTCTTGGTGTGTCAATTTGTTACTCAGTGTTAGAGCTGTTTCCAGCTCAGCACCACAGCATAACCTCCCTAAGCCTTCTTTGACTATAAATAATGACTTTGGGCACAATGTGTACCACTCTCTGAGAGCCACACAAGAATGAGGATACTCACAGCAGTTCAGACAACAGAGGATGTGGTGCTCACTGTGTGGGAAATCTGCCCATGGATGTGGTGGCCTCAGTCAGGTGATAGAGGTTGCCTTAGAGACTGTGAATTCTAACTCTGTTACTTTTAAGGGTCTCAGGTACTAGCAGACTTCCAGTGCTGGAAGTTCTGAAACATTTGTTTTCTGACTGGTCAGGATTATGACACCTAGTGTTACAAGGTGATAAGCAGTGGTGGAAACGATAGCACCCCACTGTGACATTCACTTCCAGACTTCACAGTCCTGCATGGTCAGATGGTGTAGGGGAGAATGGCATTAGGAACTACAATGGTGATGTGGCAGCAGGAACCAGGCATTCTTCCCGATGTTTTTGTGGTGGTGTACCCTCAAGTATCAGTTGCTGTCTGGAGGATGAGCTTTTACCCCATTTCCTTCAGGAGACCAATATATTTACTTTATATACTATAGTGAAATAAGTATCAAAATAAAAACGATTTTATATGAATTACTATCCATACTTACCATTTCACATGTGTATTTTGAAGACAATTAAATTCTGCTTTCATATGTAATTTCAAGTAAAAATACAGTATTCTTAACTACAGTCACCTTGCTATAAATTACCTCTTACAACTTAGTTTGTGTCCTTTCAGTGAAAGACTCTGAAATGGAGAGCCCTTAACATCATAATTGACATTATGACTCTTTGATAGTAAAATCTTTTTATCCCCCATTAGCACATATTTTGACTTCTTTTTAGTAGCATTTTTATCTTTTATTCTATATGATATTTTTACAGAGTTTGCCTGGAAAGGGTTTTGAGAAAGAATTCCCAAAGCATTATCAAACATTCTACTCAAATATTTGGCAGTATTTATAGAAGATTTATATGGTATTTCATATTTTGTGGTCATTTTTCTCTTTCAGATGCATGTGTAATATCAGAAGAAATAATGGAAAATAAAAACATAATGTTCAAGTGGATAGGAAAACAAAAGCTTTATTCTCCATCAGGGTCAATGGTTGAATTCAAGTGTAAATATGGATATCGTCCAACACCATCCAAACCATTTCGCACAATGTGTAATGATGGTAAACTGGAGTATCCCATGTGCACAAGAAGTTATGGCTAAATGTTTTGCTCTAATTAATATGTGTGCCTTTGTACAGAATTTTTCATTATTATTCCAGGTCTCTATTTTGAAGTATCATTTATTTGCTCTTGTTTTGTTTTGTTTTGTTTTCATAAAATGCATTTGTATTGATATGTGGTGATGAATTTAGCATCTGAGAGACCACTGCCACACTTTAATAAGCACTGCATTAAAACTTGGTGAACCAAAATATTGTGTCCTAGTAATAAAACCTCTATGGCAAGACTTTGATGTAGTTACTTCAGGACTTATCTGTATCCATCATTCTCCTAATTATCTCTTAAGTTTTCTACATAGTTTCCCTGAAGTCTTTATTTCACAGTAAATGCAAAAGCTATTATTTTGACCTTTAAAATTATATCACTTCACCAATATGTAAAAGCCAAACTAAGTCATATCTTATATTATTAATAAATTAGTTACCACTTATAACTTATCTATCAATAAATAAATGTAAAAATTATGACATGTATGAACTCCTAAAGTACATCAATCTAGCACATTTAATAATGCAAATAATCATAGGAATTAAAATTTAATTGAGTAAATGATTTTATAACTATCATAATATTGGTATAAAAATTATAAAAGTACATGTTATAATCACACACAAACAACACACATAGACTTGTTCTCTGGATTATAATTTATTAAAAAATGATAGGCAGGAAATGTAATAAAATATGTAAAAATTATATTTGCTTTAGAGATTATAAACTTAAGACTTGCTTAATTCTTTTAGAAAGACAAACTCCAACTTATGGTGGTCAAACTCACAATTTTTTAACCTTATTATATTGTAAAAATAATATGCATTCAGCAAAACAGTAATTTGAATTTTGATGTTCTTCCCTGGCTAGAAATATGTGGTATGACATTCTCTGATACTGAGCAGCAATAATGACCACAGCTCCCAAATAGCTATTTGATCATCAGGGTCAACAAACAACTCTTCAGGGTATACTGTGTTTCCAAGCTCTGATATATGGTTTGCTATTTATATTAAATGCATTTTCAAATTAGAATATTTTCAAGTTAACTTAAATTAATCAGGCTGCAACCCCCATTGGAAATTAAAGAGTATCAGGACTTATCTGCATTGTCCAGTTTTCTACCATTAACACAATCGGTTTTGAACCATAAGAAAAAGCTATGTTAAAATAAGAATGTCTAATAAGCAAAGCAATCCATGTGAAGGAGTCTAAGAACCTCATTTGTAATTACCTTAAAGTCAAGTAATATTTAGATGTATTTTGGTTTAGAAAAGTTGACATAGAACTTTATTTTTTATTTTTGGAAATTTCAAAACAATATTTTCAAATGTAATTTTTGTTCATATACTTCAAGCAGCCTTAATTAGTTACAATCACTTTTGACTAGAAATAATTTTAATTTTTCAAAATGTTAATGTCTTTTAGGTAAAATTATAGATATAAAAAATAACATGTAAATAGTTTAAGCAGATATGTTGTAATCTCATTGCACAAACTCACATGCCTTATGTTCCAAAGCTGTCCCTTTTTTGAGATCGTGATTTAGATGAATTACCTGAGTTGTGAAGAGAAAAGTTTTTCAATTTTAGGAGAAATTTATTAGATAACTGAGTAATCCTTGTGTTTAACATTAATACTTGCCTTTGTCCCTTTGGGTCAAAGGGATAATATAACAATATACTATCAACTCTGTGTGTTATTTAAACACACATAGTTACTATTCTAGAGACTGAGATGTCCAAGACCAAGGCTCCAACTGATTTTGTGGATGGGCTGGGCTCACTCTCTGTTTCTTAGAAGCTGCCATGTTGATATATTCCAGCTAGGTGGAAAGGAAAAGGAAGCTCTCTGAGGTGTTTTAAAATATGGCATGAATCCCATAGACTCAGTGTGTGTGGAGGGTACTTGGGGAAGGGTGAATGAAGGAGCTTACGGTGAGGGAGTATGGTTGATGAAATAGAACAATGATACCTCTTGTAATTGCTTTAAGTGGGGCATAGAGGCAGTGATCTAATCAATGTATAGCATAAGCCTATTAAAAAAAAACCCTGGACAATGAATATATGCTAACTAGAAAAAGTGTACACCAATAGATCTGAAGAAGAAATAGATTGCAATACTTTAACATAAGGGACTTCTATGTCCTACTTTAAACAGTGGATAAGTGATCCAGATGGAAATCAATGAAGAAACACTGGATTTGAGCTATATGATGGACAAACTGGACCTATAGGACCTTTGCAGACCATGCCTTCTAATAAGAATAGGACATGAATATTATCAAGTGTGTGTAAGACATTCTCTGGGATGAATATGTTGGGCCAAAAAAGTCTCAAAAATTAATAATAGTGAAATTCTATTAGATAATTTTTCCAAACATCATAATAAAAAATAGAAAAAATAACAAGAGCAATTTGATATAAATGTTAAAACCAAATATACTAAAACCTATGAGATGGAGCAAAAGCAGTTCTAAGAGAGAACTTTATGTTTTAATTACAAAACTAAGCTGCATAATTAATTGAACTACAAAGAAAGATCTCAAATTAACTTTTTATTTCAAAGAACAAGAAAATCAAGAGCAAACAGATACAAAGGTAATAGAAGGAAGGAAATGAGTTTCAGAACAGAAAGAAATGAAATGGAGAATAGAAAAATAACACTTGGCATCAGCAAAACTAGGAGATAATTTTTGGAAGAAATAATCAAAATCAATAAACATTTCAGAACTGGCAAAGGAGACATTACATCTGATAGCACAGAATTACAAAATATCATGAGACTACTATGAACAATTTACACCAACAGTATGAATAACTTGGAAGTAATGGTTTTATTATAGACACATACAATCTGCAAAGACTGAATCACAAATAAATAAAAACTCTAAGCAGACCAGTAGTGAGAAAATAAATTGAGTCAGTAATAAAAATTTCTCATGGAAGAAAAGCCCAGGATCTGAAGTCTTCCCTTCTGAATACTACCAAACATTTAAAAAAATAATAGGAGAAGGGGACCAGGAACTAGAGAAAAGGTTAGTTCAAGAAGAATTAATTTAGAATGTAACACATATGTACAGGAAAGCAATGTGAGTAAACTCCCTGTATAGCTATCCTTGTCTCAACCAGCAAAAACACTTGTTTCTTCCTGTTATTGCTTATACTCTCTCTTCAACAAAATTAGAGATAAGGGCAAAATAGTTTCTGCCTGGTAGTGAGGGGTTAAGGGGAAAGATGGAGGGGGTGGAGGGAAAGGGAGGGAGCAGGCGGAAGGGGGAGAAATGAGCCAAATATTGTATGCACATATGAATAAAAGAAATAATAAAAAAATTAACCCTAAACTTGAAAAAAAATTAACACTAAGATTTTTTCAAAGTCTTCCAAGAAATTGAAGAGGAGGAAGAAATTCCACACATATTTATGAGACCAACATTATCCCAACACCAAAGGACACAAAAAGAAAGTAACCCAATATGTCTAATGAATCTCTCTGATGAATATAGATGCAAAAGATGTCAACTAGCAAACTGAATTCAACAGCACATTTAATGGATTATAAATCATTATTATATGTAATTTATGTCTGGCATTCAAGGTTGGTTACATACGCCAATTAATCTGTTATTCACTACATTAATAGAATGAAGTACACAAAACACACCATTATCTCAATAATTAGAATGTGAGAACAGTCAACATCTTTTTATGATTAAAAATAGTCTTCAACAAATTAATTATAGAAGAAATTACCTCAAGAGAAGAAAGCCACACAGAGGTTGAACATCCTTACCATAAAAAGTTTAAATTTCTATGCATATATGAATAAAAAAAATCTGGAAGAAAAAAAAATTCAAATTTCTGAAATTCTTCAAATCTAAAATTGTCTGAATACCAACACAATAATTGGATAGTTCCACACCATGAATCTTGTTTCTTATACACAATTATTTAAAATATTATATAAAATTACCTTGAGGATATATTTACAAAGTATATATGTAACATAAAGAAACTTTCTGTTTAATGTAAGGTCCCAACTATAATATATGCGTATATAAATATTCCAAAATCTGCAAAGATACAATCTCTAACATTTTAGATAAGGAATACTCAAATTGTGGACAAGTCCAAAATCAATATGATACTCTATGCTATTACTCAATGCCCTAGTGGCTACTTTTACTGTAGTTCTGCCTCTGATCCCAAATATTTGCGTGGCATTATTCTTGTGGGAACTTTCTGAGGTGGCTCTCCCCCTTTGACAAGTCTCTGCTTGAGCTCCAAGGCTATTACATACTTCCTTTGAAATTAGGTGTGGCCTCCTTACCTGCATAGATCTTACATGCTGAGTCCTTCAAATTAATGTCACATGGATACTGCCTATTGCCATATTAATGAAACTTTTAAAACTTGAAGAAAAACGGATTCTAAAAATGACAAAAAAGAAGTGGTGTTATATAGGAATGACTATTAAAGTAACAGTATTTTTTTTAGGAGACACTTTACAGGGCAGTAATAACAGAGAAGACATAGTCAAAATTCTGAGGAAATAAAACACTGTTATGCAAGAATACCCAGAAAAATTTATCCTGAAGAAATAAAGACTTTCTGCGATAACAAAAAAGGGGGGAATTCACTAACATCAGACTGACTTACAAAATAAGCTTCCTATGCTTATTATCATTTTAAATGCATGTGCAATATCTGAAGGAATGGATAAAAACAGAGATAAATGGAAACCTGAGAAGAGTATTCCTAGCTACATGGCAGACTCAGATCAGGAGAACTGAAGATCCAGGCCATGAGGGGCAGTAAATATTTAACACCACCCTCTCAAACAATACCTGGATATGCTGAGCACACTTGTTCATCCTAGCTGAGCAGGAATCTGACATCAGGAGGATCACAGTTCAAGGCCAGTCTGGGCAAAAAGGATCATGAGACTCCATCTCAACAGATGAAATTTGGGTGTAGTGGCTTCAAATTTGGGGGCACTCACTGAGGGTTGTGCAGACTTAGTGGGTGACAGTGGCTCCTGCGAAGCTCTGCATGCAGGATACACATACACAAGTCATGTCTGTGAATGTAGCCATGAAGTAGACATTGTCTTGCTGTCTCTAGCAGGCAGGGAAGTCTCAGTCTTCATACAGCCTAGTCTGCTTGACCTGTTTAAGATGGAAGAAGACACATCTAACACTTGGTATCTGGACAACTAAGAACCACAGGCCTAGGAAACAGATATCTGCATCTCCTCATCATGAAGAAAGAATACT